CGACCCTGTACAGGGTTTCTGAGGCTGTAAATCTTTACGGGAGCAGAAAGCCTCATCATTCTCCCACAGAGCCATCACATTAGGGGTGACTTAATTAAGTGTTTGACCAAATAGAGCAGGCTAATTTTTACGTTGGTAATTTTGGCAGAAAAAAAGTTCCCCACCCCTACTGTATAGGGTTTCCTGGGAGCAGCTGATGTGATTTGCTGTCCAGTGCCGATCCTATACCAGCACGCCAGGAGTCCATATATAAAAATACACACATACCACATATATAGTCTTCTTTGTTGTTGTTGTTCAGGGCCATAGAGTTGTGAAATATACATAAGAGCATCTACCGTTTTAACTTTAAAAAATGTTATGAAGATATTTATATACATATATACACATATATAAAAGAATCAAAAAAATATGGAAGAAATACAGTCACTGTACAAAAAAAAAAAATTTTTTTTTAAATGGTGGTTGTTCAACCATTTCAAGAGATAGCATATGATCTGGAGGCAATGACCCTAAAGGAAAATGTCCAAGATACACAGAAGGCATTGCCAAAGAACAAGGCTCTGGGAATTGATGGAATAAAAATTGTAATCTTTCAACAAACTGATACGGCACAAGAGGCACTCACTCATCTCTGCCAAGAAATTTGCAAGACAACTACCTGGCAAACTAACTGGAAGAGATCCATATCATTGTGCCCATTCCAAAGAGACGTGACCCAACAGAATGCAGAAATCATTGGACAGTGTAAGCGATATCCCATGCGAGTAAAATTTTACTAAAGATAAAACAAAAGTGGTTACAACCATACATTGATAGAGAACTTCCAGAGGTTCAAGCTGGATTCAGAAGAGGAAACAGAACGAGGGATATCATTGCTGATATCAGATGAATCTTAGCTGAAAGCAGAGAATACCAGAAAGATGTCTGTTGTTGTTTTGTGCTGTGGAGTCGGTTCCGACTCATAGTGACCCTGTACAGGGTTTCCGAGGCTGTAAATCTTTACAGGAGCAGAAAGCCTCATCTTTCTTCCGCAGAACAGCTGGTAGTTTCGAACTGATGACCCTGAGGTTAGCAGCCCTATTCGTAACCACTGCGTTACTTGTGCTTTATTAACTATGCAAAGGCTTTAGATTGTGTGGGTCATGACAAGCTATGGACAACACTTGGAAGTATGAGTATTCCAGAACACTTAATTGTGCTCATGAGGAATCTGAACATAGACCAAAAGCAGTTGATCGAACAGAACTAGGGAACACTGAATGACTTTAAATTAGGAAAGGTGTGAGCCACGGTTGTAGTCTTTCACCATACCTATTCAGCCTGTAGGCTGCGCAAATAATCCAAGAAACTGCATTATATGAAGAAAAACGTGGACTCAAGATTGGAGGAAGATTCAGTTACAACCTGCGATATGCAGATGATACAACCTTGCTTGCTGAAAGAGGACTTAAAATACTTACTGATGAAAATCAAAGACCATAGCCTCAATGTAAAGAAAACTAAAATCTTCAGCACTGGACCAATAAATAACATCAAGATAATTGTCAAAGATTTCATTTTGCTTGGATCAACCATCAACACTCATGGGAGCAGCAGTCAAGAAAACAAACGTTTTACATTAAGCAAATCTGCACAAGACCTCTTTAAAGTGCTGAACAGCCAAGATGTCAGTTTGAGGACTAAGGTGCACCTGACCCAAGCTGTGATAATTTCAACAACCTCATATGCATGTGAAAGTTGGGCAATGAATAAAGAAGACCGTAAAAGAATGGATGAATTTGAATTATGGTGTTGGAGGAGAGTATTAAAAGTTCCATGGACCGCAAGAATTAAAAACAAGTCTGTGTTTGAAGAAGTACAGCTAAAAATGCTCCTTAGAAGCCAGGATGGCCAGACTTTGTCTCTCATACTCGAAACACACTATCAGGAGGGACCAGTACCTGGAGAGAGATATCATGCATGGTAAAGTGGAGGGTCAGCAAAAAAGAGGAAGACCCCCAACAAGATGGACTGACACAGTGGCAGGAGCAATGGGTTCAGGCATACCAACAACTGTGAGGGTGTCGCAGGACCGGACAGTGTTCCATTCTGTTGTGCATAAAGTCACTATGAGTCATACCAACTCAACAGCAGCTAACAACAACATATGTTATTAAGTGCTGTCAGGTCGGTTCCAACCCATAACGGCCCTGTATAGGGTTTCCAAGGAGCAGCTGGTGAGCTTGAACCACTGACCTACGGTTCAAATCGACTTTGCAGTCCAGCACATTAACTCCTAGAGCCCTGATGTGGCACTGTAAGAGAAGCACTGTACTGCGAACCACAAAGTTGGCAGTTCAAACCTACCACCAATTCCTTGGAAACCTTATACAGGGTTGCTATCCTTGGAAACATACAGGGTCACGATGAGCTGGAACCAACACAACAGCAGACAATACACACACACACATATGGAGTCCTGGTGTGGCGCTATAGGATAAGCAAGCATTAAGCTGCCAGCCACAAAGTTATGAGTTCAAACCCACCAGTCGCTCCTCAGAAACCCTATATAGGGTCACGATGAGTCAGAATCGACTTGAAGGCATTTAAGACATACACATGCTAAGTGAAAGACTGGATTAATGTACCAGACTGCAGAGTGGGTTTGAACTGCAAGGTCAGCGATTCAAGCTCACCAGCCGCTCCTTGAAAACCCTATACAGGACGCTCGAAGGCACTTTACAGTAACTACAAGAGAAAGTCAGACTGAGAAGACCACCACGCCGTCCCCCTGCCATAGTCTTTGTTGAATCGTAATGAGTCTACAGGACAGAGCCAAGCTGCCCCGTTGTGTTTCTGAAATCTTAATGGATGCAGACGCCTCCGCTTTCTCCAGACGACTAGAGTGTGTAACCTCATGAATGTGGAATTTCTAGAAAAGATAAAGCTGGAGAGTGGGAAGACCGGCAAGGTCGCCCGAGGGTAGAAACGGGAGGGAGGATGGAATGTAAACGTCCCCTCGGACCCACCCCCACCCTGGAATTGCTGGTGGGTGAAGGTGTTTCAAAACCATGCTGTCAACGATTGTACACGGGCCCTTCTTGCCCATTCTGAGTCAGGGCAATCCCACAGGACAAGCATAGGGGTTTCCAGGCTGTCATCTTTACAAAAGTCAATTGCCAAAGCCTTTCTCCCCCAGAGCTGCTGAGTGGGCCCGAACTGCCAACCTTGCAGTTACAGCTTACTCACTGTGCTGCCAGGGCTCCTTACAGACATTTACTCCAATGCCTCAAACAGGACCCCGAGAATCAACATGCTCTGATGTGAAGATCATTGCTCGATAATCCCAATTTGGAAACTAGGCTTATATATTGTTGTTGTTGTTATGTGCCGTTGAGTATAGCTGCTGGTAAGTGCCATTAAGTCGATTCCAACACATAGCAACTCTGTTCAGAATTTCCAAGGAGCGGCTAAGGGGTTTTGAACTGCTAACCTTGTGGATCGCAGGCCAGTGCTGATCCTACAGTACCACACCAGCAATCTTGTCTATGTATACTTACATGTAAACAAAACAAAAACAAAAACATCAGAAGAATGCTTGGAAAAGAAGGGAACGAAGGACTATGAAATCTTTTTACTAGGGATCCAGACCAATTCTAGAGGCACACAGTTAATTACAAAAGCAAAGTGGACCCAGGGCTCAGCAAACGTTTTCCAGAAAATACCAAACAATTCTCAGTTTTGTGAGCAAGTTTCTTGTCCTGACCACCTGGACTCTGCCGTTAAAAGCACAAAAGCGCTACACACAACAACATAATAATGAATGGCATGGTGTAGCGATAAAACTTTATTTACCAAAACAGCAGGGGGCCACATTTGGCGTCGCAGGCTGCAGTTTACTGACCCCAGGTGCAGAGTGTAACTTTTATTTGCGTTACTTAATGTTTGTGCATGTGTGCATGATCACATCCAGTACAGACATCCGGCCCTGCGTGCCTGGATTCAACTAAGTTTGGATGGATTAAAACATTGGGGAGTGAGGGAAGTAACCATTAAGTGATCAAAGTAGCCCCTGATAGACTTTGTAGCCAGAGTGCTAGTGACATAGCGCTGGCACCATACGGACCATTACAAGTCACCCAGAGAGGCTTTCAGGTAGGCGAGAGGATTTGCGCAGACTACAGGCAAATGTTGTGCCATATGACACACACCATTATTTTTCATTCCATCTCTCCATGAACTTTAGGAAGCCCCTCATGCATACATGTGTTCACACACTAAGAGAAGTCTCTCTGAAGATATGAGTCACAGAGCTACCTTGGGAAAGAGGACCTGCGTGGCCAATGGGGCGAGAAGCAGGGACAATGCTAATACTCGCTGTGTAGTTGTGGGTCCACTTGGGATGGACCCCGCTGGATGACCTAGTCACCATCATTAAACTACAAATAACTAAAACAACAGTCCCCGCCTGCCAGGGCCCGGAGCTCGACCCCATCTCAGACAGACGCACCCCGAGGTCCCCCCTTCAAACCTGCAACCAAAATCATCTACAGCCTTCCGGAAACCAAACAGGAGTCTCGCTGAACTCCTCAAACACATCAAGCAATGAGCTCTTTGAAGAACCATCTCCATGGGGCCAGTGACAATGGCCACCGGAAAGGTTCCAGAGGCAGCTTAGGGGGCAGGAAGCTACGGAGTGGGGGAGGGGTACCTGGAAAAGGCAGGCAAGGGCAGTTGTGTAACCTGAGGAATGTCACTGGCGTCACAGTACCACACCTGAAGAAGCGGTCCATTCTGCCATGTACACGCGCAACAACAAACCATAAACACGGATGACTTAAAGAGAGCAAGATGACCAGCAGTGAGCAGGGAGGAAAGTAGGGCACCAGAGGGGGGGCTAGGCAGAGGCTGTGGCAGCAGGTCCCCGTCATCAGGGCCCTGAGGGCTCAGAACTGGCTGAGGCCCCCAGGATGACAAGAAGCAAGGCTCCCTGGATGCACCGACGGTGCGTGGCTCACCCGAGCATGACGTTGGCGTACAGCTCCCGAACAGTCCTGGTCTCCCGTTTCCGCAGGATCTCGGCATCATACCAGAAGCCACGCTCCTTGGGGTTGTCAGGGTTGTAGTTGAGCATGACCACCTGGCCCGCCTCCAGCTCCTGCCATGTGAAGATGGTTCGGGCGCGCGCACGGACGTCCCTGGAGTTCATCTGGACCACGCCGTTCTCAGGGTAGCTATGGAAAGCAGGCAGCGTGATCAGCACAGTCGAAGGCAGTCCCTTCTCCATCCAGCTTAGGTGCTGGTGTCCAAAATGGTGAGGGAACTCAGCCATTAACCAAAAAATGGCAATTCAAGTCCACCCAAGGCACCTTGGAAGAAAGGTCTGGCAGTGTACTTCCAAAAAATCAGCCACTGACAAGTCTATGGGGCAAAGTTATACTCTGACACCTGGGAGGGGTCCTGAGTCCGATTTCATTCCATCACCTACCTGAGAGGCATGAATGGTGAACGCACTCGGTCGCTAACCGAGATCCCCCCAGAGGCACCTCAGAAGTAAGGCATGGCAATTGTTGTTGTCAGGCGTCATCGAGTCGGAACCGACTCATAGCAACCCCATGCACAGCAGAACGAAACAATGTCCGATCCTGGGCCAACCTCACTACCGCTGCCACACTTGACACCATCAATGATGCCACCTGGCTGATCCATCTCGTTGGGGGTCTTCCTCTTTTTCTCTGACCCTCCACCTTACCCAGCATGACATCCTTCTCCAGCGACTGTTCTCTCCGAGAATTCAATCACAGAAAACCCTACGGAGCAGTTCTAATCTAATCTGACTCACACAGGATCACCAGGAGTCAGATCCAACCCAACAACTGCTTCTTTAAGATGCATAGATACAGAGGCAGGACGATCAATGGGTAGCTGAAGTCTGCAGAGCTAAAAGCCTCAAGGTGCCGGACGACAAGTACACGATCACAAGGTCAGTCTGAACTTCAAGACTGGTGATTCAAACTCACCAGTTGTTCCCTGGAAACCCTACATAGGGTCACTATGAGTCGGAACTGACTCGATGGCACTTAACAACAAGCCTCATTGTGTGCCAGACACCATCCTAGACACCAGGCAGTAGGAACTCAGTAGGAACCTAAGATCTATGCAAGAGCTTAGAGAATCTAAGTTTCTAAGCCTAGTACGGGGCCTGGCACACGATTTTTAAAAAACAAACCCATTGCTGTCAAGTGGATTCTGACTCACGGCGATCCCAGGGGGTTAAAGTAGACCTGAGCTCCACAGGTGTTCTTGGCTGTCACCTTCACAGAAGCAGCCTACAGGCCTTTCTTCCTAAGTGCCATGAGGTGGGTTTGAACCCCCAACCTTTACATCAACCGTCAGGAGCACCCATTTGTGCCCCCCAGGGACCTGGGCGCACAGTAGCCGCTCAATCACTGCACAGTGAACAGAGCTTCCCATTGCAGCAGGGGAGGGAAACCAAGATGAGACAAGCTGCGGTGTTGGTAAGTCAAGATAAAATCCAACAGGGCGATCGGGAACACGTTTCCCAGGGAGTGTGAGGAGAGCGATTTTGCTTTGCCGCTACGGGAGTGGCCTTGTGGATGGTCTGGGGATGTGAGTGCAACAATGAATCCTAAGCCTGTACAGTCTGAGCCAGGACACCGGCCCCCAAGCAACACTCACTCGTCATATTTCACATGGTAAACGATGTCGTCCTCAAGGGCTGGGCTGGACGTGGAGCTGCTCGGCTCGTTCTGTGAGGGGGCCTTCCTGGTCACTCTGACCACCTGTGCCTCAAACCACGCACCCAAGTTTGTGTCCCTCGCATCGACGTATTCATTGACCTGCAACACGGGGAAGGAACATGGGTCAGCAAAACAGACATGGGTCCACTGTAGTCTCAGAGCACAGGGCTGGAGACAAACCCAATGCCTACAGCAGCGTCTTCCTCACAGCACATTGAAACAGGGGCAGGGGGCATTCTGGGTGCTGTAGGGTGCTAAGCAGCACCCATGGTCTCCACCACCTCAATGCCAGGATCACTTTGTCCCTCCTTATTGACACCCACCAATGACCCAGACTGTATCCAGTCCCCCCTGGGGACAGAATCACCTTGGGTGAGGACCCCTGGGTTAGGGGACTCACTTACCCACCCACCCACCCCCGAAGAGACACAGCATCTCATCATCTGATCCCGTGACATCTTGGAATGCTGCCCACACTGAAGTCCATATACTGAGCGGAAGAGCCCGCTGGCTGACACCGTCGGATCACATAGAAGTTTATTCTGGTGGATGGATGAGCAGGAACCAAACTCAGGGTTATTTTCCGCATAATTGTTGCAGGGTCTCCCATCTTGGCACTGTGGACATGGGGAGCAGGGCAGTCCTGGACACTGTAGGGTGGACAGTGGTGTTCACCCACTGCATGCCAGCCGCATGCTCCGTAATTATTACAAAGAAAAACGTCTCCACACTCAGTGTTCCAAGGCGGGGTGTGTGTGTGTGTGTGAGAGATCGAGAGAGATCGCCCCAGGGTGAGACCACCTGCCCTAGGAGAACAAATAGCACATCAAACCGGAACTGTCACTGAAGGCTACACCTGACCAATGTCAGCGTACCGACACATCAGTTCCATCTGCATTGACCACAACAAGAAACAGACAAGTAATCACAGGGAGACTGTTCTAAAAAACCCTTGTCGTGGTTGCAACGTATCCCAGACAGGCGGTCTGGGTCAGTAACTGCTGCCAGTCACTTGGTGAAATGCACTGTTGCTACTGAAACAGACAGGCGGCTACCTGCTGACAGGAAGAGATCCTCATTAGACTGTTGCTGTAAACACCCGTCAACTCCATACTGACTCACAGAGACTCCGTAGAGGGTTTCCAAAGAGCAGCTGATGGGTTTAGATCACTGACTTTGCGGCTAGCAGTCCAGTGCTTATCCTAAAGCACCACACCAGGACTCCAATATAGTAAATGGGGGACAAAGCAAGGCCTATAGATAGATTGAAAATGGGGTCCTGGTGTGGCCCTGTAGGATCAGCACTCGACAATAAGGTCAAGTTTGAACCGTAAGGTAAGCAGTTCCAATCCACCAGCCGCTCCTTGGCAACCCTCCTCGGCTCCTCCGTCACTGAGTTGAAACTGACCAGATAGCATTTAACAACAATAGATTAGGAAGAAGCGCTGATGGCTCTGTAGGTAAGCACTAGACTGATAACCACAAGTATAGCAGCTCTAACTCACCAGTTGCTAAAGAAAACAATGAAGTTTTCTATTCCCATAAAGATTTAAGGCTGGGAAACACTATCCAGGCTCCCTGTGAGTCACGAGGCTGGTTGGCAGTGGGTTTGGTTTACAAAGCCCGAAGAGGAGCCCTAAGGATGTAACACTACATTACATGGCTGTTGGAAAGGTTGACCAATGGGTCAAAGCCACCAGGTAGGTAGCTTCCAGCTACAAGGGAGGAAGACTTGTCAATCTGCTTCCACCAAAAAAAAAATTAAATAAAAGGAGAAAAAGCCAGGAAATCCCCTGTGGGACGGTCCTACTCTACCCCAGGGGTCTCCGTGAGTCAGAAATGAGGGCACCCTACAACATGTACGTTAAAAAAGACGGGAACTCTTAAAGCTCAAAGCGGGCCCCACAGGCCAATGGGGAAGGAAGGCAGGCACGCCAGCCGACAAGAGTCCGCTCAGAACAGCTCAGGGAGGACCATTTGTCAAGAGAGGCTGCGTATGTGGATCTTTCCATGACATGGCCTTATTCGTAGGTGGTGGCAGTGAACTCCAGCACTTCACAGAAAACCTATGCCAGCCTCCAACCCAGAACGTTGTCATTCAGGGTCAGAAAGAATCCCTAGAGGCCACCAACATCTATACAATGGACTATCAGTCGGCCATCAAGACACATCCTGAAACATGATGGACTTGCAATCAATCTGTATGCAGCAAAATAGTCACAGGCCAGTGGACTGAGACTGCAGGGTCCCACTGGTCCAAAAGACCTGGACTATACATGTGATAGCCACAGTTGTGTCCACTAGGCTGGCCCAGGACTCACAGGCAGGCTTTGCACTTAAGACATAGTAACCCCGCATGATGAGACCTAATGTCAAGTAATCATCCAAAACCAATCAACTGAAAGGAAGTTTCAACATGGGTGTGTCGACTGCAAGAGCATTTATCTTGCAAGAGATAAAAGGAGAGGGAAGTGGGCAGGCAAGGAGGTTCCTATTATCATCAAGAAAGTAGAGGCGGGAGTGAACAGTGTACCTTACACATGGGGTCCGTGCACCGTGAAGCTCCTAGCTCCAAGGGAAGATTAATGCCAAGACACGTGGAGATCTCCCAGGCCTACTGATGCTGAAAACACACCAGGGCCTTTCTCCAGAGTCAACAACAACAAAAAGCCTTATCCCAGAGCCGCCACTCTGAATTTCGACTCCTAGCTCCCTGTCATGGGCTGACCTGTGTCCCCAAAACACGTGTCAACTTGGCTGGCCCATGATCCTCAGTGGTTTGGCAGTTATGAAATGATGTCATGTGACAGTTCTGGGACATTTCCCAGTGACGCGATCTGATGAGATGAAGCAGTAATAGGAATTAGGGAGCTGCCAGAAAATTTCGAGCAAGATTCAGAAGAGGATGGGGAACAAGGGACATCACTGCTGAAGTCAAGTGGATCTTGGCTAAAAGCAGAGACTAGTAGGAAGATGTTTGCTGTTTTGTTACCTGCCATCAAATGGGTTCCAACTCATAGTGACCCTGTAGAGGGTTTGGACTACCAACTTTGAGGTTAGCAGTCCAGTGCTTATCCTATAGCGTCACTTCAGAGCCCAAAAAGGTGTTTACGTGTGCTTTATTGACCAGGCAAAGGTATTCAATTGTGAGGATCATAATAAACTATGGATAACACTGCAAAGAATGGATATTCCAGAACACTTCATTATGCTCATAGAACCTGTACGTAGACCAAGAGGCAGTTGTTCAGAAAGAACAAACAGATGCTGAATGGGGTAAAATCAGGAAAGGTGTGTGTCAGAACTATAGTCTTTCACTACACTTACTCAATCTGTGTGCTGAACGGATAATTGAAGAAGCTGGATTCTATCAAGAACCGGGCATCAGGATTGAAGGCTCATTAACAGTTGGCAACATACAGATGACACAACCTTGCTTGCAAAAAGCAAAGAGGACTTATAATACTGATGAAGACCGAAGACTACAGTCTTCATTATGGGTTGCACCTCAACGTTAAAGAAAAGGAAAATCCTCAAAATTGGACCAGTAAATAACACCAAAATAAATGGAGAAAAGACTGAAGTTGTCAAAGACTTCATTTTGCTTGGATCAACCATCAACACGAATAGAACCAGCAGACAAGAAATCAAAGTATTGCATTACTCAAATCTGCTGCACAAGCCCTTTTTAAAGTGTTGAAGAGCAAAGATGTCAGCTTGAAGACTAATACCTGACCCAAGCCACGGTATTTTCAATTGCCTCATATGCATGCGAAAGCTGGACCGTGAATATGGAAGGCCATAGAAGAATTGATGCATTTGAATTATGTGTTGGAGAACACTGAAAATACCATGAACCGCCACAGAACAAACAAATCTGTGTTGGAAGTACAGACAGAGTGCTCCTTAGAAGCCAGGATAGCTGGCCTTCGTCTCTCACACTTTGGACATGTTACCTGTCAGGAGGGACTAGTCTCTGGAAAAGGACACCAGGCTTGGAGAAATGGAGAGTCAGGAAAAAAGAAGACCCTCAACATGGAACAATGGGCTGACACATAACAACTGAGTTATGATCGGACTCGAAGGCACCTAACAACAATGAATAACAAAGACAACAGGCAAGTGTATAGAGACGGAAGCAGATTAATGGTGGCCTAAGGATACAGCACTGGACCACAAGGTCAGTTTGAATAGCAAGGTCGGCGGCTCAAGCTCACCAGCCACTCCTTGGAAACCCTATACAGGGTCGCTATGGGTCAGACCCAACTCCACGGCCCCTGACAACAGCAAGGGTAATGGGGAGCTACTTGGGTCACAAAAAATGGCTACACGCTTGGCTGCTAACGGAAAGGCTGGTTTGAATCCACCCAAGGTTGGTAGTTCAAACCCATTGTCTGCTCCATGGAAACCCGACTCCACAGCACTTAACTGTAAAGATGCATCAGAAGAAAGGCCTGGAAATCTACTTGTGAAACAGCCAAGATTTTTCACCTCACTCAAAAATGACGGCCAAGTGCATGTGGCTCTGCAATGTCCTGCGTGAGTGTCTGAAAGGGCTCAGTACTTCCTGGGCCAGGATTAGACCAGCAGTTCATCGTGGTCCCCTCCACTTGCTGCACCTGCAGCGTTTCAATCACTGAAAAGGCATCGAGCCTTTGCTTACATTACAGCTACAGCCATCAAGCCAATTCCAACTCATAGGGACTCACAGCGCTTCCCGAGGCAGTCAGTCTTTGGGGGCAGAGAAGAACACATCATCATCCCACAGAGCGCCTAGAGGGTTCGAATAGAGATCTAGTGGTTGGGGGCTGAGTGCTCAGGCTCAAACTACTTCTTACAAACCATAAGGTCAGCAGTTCAAATCTAGCAGCCACTGTGCAGGAGAAAGATGAGGCTTTCTGCTCCCGTAAAGATTTACAGCCTTGGAAACCCTATCTGAGCCACCACAGAGGTGATTTCCCAGTGAGATGATTTCCAGTCGATTTCAGAAGTAGTGAATTTTTAAAGGAGCCGAAAGCCACCTCTCTCTCTGGTGGATTCAAACTGCTGACCTTGTGGTTAGCAGCCCAACGCACAACCACTATGCCAACAGTGCAGACTCCTTTTCTGCACTGAAGTAAGAACCATATGCATCTGGCTCAGACTAAGGAACAAGTTCTTACAGATCCAGTTAGGAAAGAGTCTCATCTGTAAACTGCAGACTGCCTGTAATTTAACAGGGTAGGGTCTTTCTTGTGTGAATATCATCTAAATTTAAAAGAATAAAAAGACTCCCTACTGGAAGGTGCTTAACAACAACAAGGAAACTTTACAAGTGCCCAGAGGGTGGCTTCCCCGCCCCCTGCCCCCCTTGCAGGATGAAGCCCCCAGGGATGGAGTGGGAGCAGGTCTGTGCCCAGTGGACTTGGGGCAAGGCAGATGGAGGCCAGGCTGGAGGGCGCAGCCCCGAACCTGCCGCAGGGAGCTCACCTTATAGAGGCCGAGCTCCGTCTCGTCCCACGTGTCCTCAGTCGTCAGGCCAGCCTTGCTGTCGGTGTCGGCAGCTGCCTCGCCGTGGTTGGAAGACTTGTCCGACTCGCTCTGGCCCAAGCAGCAGCCGGAGTCACTATCGGAGAGCTCCGAGTCCCGCTCCTTGGTGTTGGGAGGTAGCACGAGGCTCTGGCGGACCAGCAGCTGAATGGTGTCATTCAGGCGGACGTCATAGTCAAAGAGCGTATGGCCATCTTCCATCTGCAAGGACAAGGAGGAGGAGGTCATCATGCCAACTCCCAGTGACCTTGTAGGACAGGGCAGAACTGTCACTCTTTACAGGGAGTAACGGAGATTAACCCATTTCTGACTAGTCAATTTTAAACCAGTGACCCTATAGGGCAGAGAAGAACTGCCCCATGGGGTTTCCATAGAAACTCATCTTTAGGGAAGGAGACTTCCACAGAGCTTCCTCCCAAGGAGCGCTTAACCACTGTGCCACCAGGACTCCTGTAAGTCTCCATCAAAACCAGTTAGAACCAAATAAACCAAATCTACTGCTGCGGCGATGGGACCATCTGGCTTTCCTTCCCCTTCCTGTTCCCCTAGGATACAACGAGGGCCTTCCCAGGAGCCACGGACAGGCCGGACAAGTAGTACTCACTGACGCAGTGCCAGCTTCCACTTTGGGCCACCGGGACAATTGTGTCACCAGGAAGGGACGGGGCCCTGATGAGTCAAAAAAATCAACCAGGGGACCCAACTACCACCACAAATTTGTAACACGGTATAAATTGATAGACAAAATCCACATGAACCAAAGCTCTTCGAGGTCCTCAAATTGTTCTGAAGCACATAAGGGGGTCCTGAGAGACCAAACCGTCTGAAACCTGCTGACCCAGAAAAGAAAAGCTCTTGTAAATACAAAGGAGTACCAGGAGACCCATCCAGAATGTTCCACAGCTGTACTGCTCCTAAGAGCAAAACCTGGGCATGCCAAGCAGGCTCTAGAGCCGGGATTTCAGCACTAAGGTGTCATCAACAAACTATGGGACGCAGGACAGAGCTACCCAAATAAAGCTTTATTGGCACATCAAACCCCCAAAACAAAATCTACTGCCATGAAGTTGGTTCAGCCTCACAGCAATCCCACAGGACAGAGTTCTGTCCCACGGGGTTGCCAAGGCTGTAGCTCTAGAAAATGGAAGCCCACAGCCTCACTCAGGAAAAGGGTCAGCAGCCCAATGTGTAACTCACTGCAAAACCAGGGCTCCAACCGGCATATAGTAGCTATCATGTACTGTCGAGTGTGTTCCCTCTTAGAGCGACCCTGTAGATGGTTTCTGAGCAGCTGCTGGTGGGTTTGAACTGACAAGCTTGCAGTTAGCAGTCCAGTGCTTATCCTACAGTGCCACCCAAGGGCTCCCATTGGCACATGTTGTTAAGTGCCTTCCAGTGGGTTCCAACTCATGGCAACCCTGTATAGGATTTTTGGGGAGGGGCTGGTGAGCTCGAACTGCTGACCTTGCAGTTCAAACCAAGCTTGAGGTCCAGAGCTTACCCTACAGCGCAACACCAGGACCCCCTGTTGGCACATGGCCACTCCCAACTGTGCTGCCTACCGCTTCGTCCTATAGAGGCAGAGGTGAGCAGTCCACACATGTCCTTGTTGGGTATCATCGAGTCCACTCGCGGGCAGCCGAGCTGCACAGCAGGGTTGAGGCCACAGTCACTGAGTTGGATTCGACGACGTGGTAAGGGTTTGGTTTTCTGGTTAACCTTAACGGAAGCACATCGCCAGGTCTTTCTCTCAGGGGGTCACTGGGTGGGTTCAAACCTTGAGGTTCACAGTTTGAGCTTTAACAGTTGAGTCACTAGGGTTCTTTTCAATATCTATTAGAGTGTCCTTTGCCCAGTTTGCTGACCTCTGCTATGGAGGAGGGCCACAGTGCATATACCCTAGAAATCAGGACCCTCCCTCACACACCCCAAAGCGGGAGCCTAGAAGTTGCAGTATCTACACTGCCCCCTACCCCCACCCCCCAGCTCCTGGTGCACAGAAAAGGCCCAGCCTACAAGGGTCCTGGTGCACAACAGACCCTCACGCAGTCACCACAACTCATCGTAACACAGTCTTCCCGGCAGGTGTGGTCACATAGCTACTTGTGAGTTCCAACTCATCATGACCGTGTATAGGGTTTCCCAGGAGCCAACCTTGTGGATCAAACCGACCATGCAGTCTAACACATCAACCCACAGCGCCCCCCCAGGGCTCCATCAGCTACTGTTATTGTTAAGTGCCGTTGTCGGTTCCAACTCACAGCCACCCCGTTTAGGGTTTCTGAGGAGCAGCTGGCAGGCCGACCTTGCAGTCCAGCACGTTGCATTAACCAACACCACACCAAGACTCTCTATTAGCTACTAGATGGCTTCAAAGAGTTTGTGGAAAATGGATAATGCAATTTTCCCATCAACTTTATGAGATCCCTCCTCATACTTTGCTAAAGTAAGCTATGTGTATGGTTTTGGTTAGGTGCTATCGAGTTGGTACCAAACTCACAGCAACATTATGCGCAACAGAACGAAACCCTGCCCAGTCCTGCAACAACCTCACAATCACTGCTACACTTGAGCCCTCTGCTGCTGTCAATGTGCCAATCCATCTCGTTGGGGGAGGGGGGAGGTGTCCTCCCTTTTTCTCAGACCCTTCAATTTACCAAGCATGATGTCCACCAGGGACTGGCCCCTCCTGATAGTATGTCCGAAGTATGAAAGATGAAGTTTCACCATCCTGGCTTCCAGGGAGCATTCTGGTTGTACTTCTTCCAACACAGATTTGTTTGCTCTTCTGACAGTCCATGGTACTTTTAATATTCTCCTCCAACACCGTTAACTATAATATTAAGCCAGCAGTTATCACTAGGGGTGACTCTGCCCCTCAGGACACTAGGCCATGTCTGGGGACATCTGTGGTTATCACAACTTCAGGGGGTGGGGGAGCGGGGAGATGCTTCTGGCATCAACTGGTGAGACCAGAGATGCTGTTCAAAACCCTCCAGTGCCCAGGGTTTTGTTCAAGCCCTACCCCAGAGAAGATCCAGCCCCGTATCAACAGTGTCAAGGGGGAGGGATCTGGAATTATCCAGAATAAACTTAAGTCGAGTCCCTGCTCACCCATCCACCAGAATAACTCCCCGCTGGGGCAGACATCAACCAGGGAGACATTCCTGCTCCTAGGATTTCCCTCCTCTCTCCTCCCACTCTGTGTGGATTTCACCGTGGGGAGCATCCTAGGACCTCAGGGGGTCAGATGAGGATAGGTGAAGTTTCTTGGGGGTTAATGGCGCAGGTCCGGGCGGGCAGTGTTTTGTTCTGTTGCGCACAGGATCGCTATGAGTTGATACCTACTGGATGGCTCCTAACAACTACCACCACCCAGGGGTCCTCCCCTGGGGTGATTCTGCTCCTCAAGGGACACCAGACAATGTCTGGGGAAGAGGTGCTAATGGCATGCAGTGGCTAGAGATCAGAATTGTTGCTTAACAGCCTACAGTGCACAGGACAGCTCCCACCCCTATGCAGCCGTGTGTCAGCAGCGTCAAGGGGTGGGGACCCTGAACTACCCCACTTACTGAGCCTTCACGGAGCCAAGCCAGGGCTCAGTCTTCATATATGCTGGGCACCAACTCCTCACCACCCATGAGCAGTGGGGTCTCTACCAGCCCCACTGGAAAGGTGAAGACATAGAGGCTGGAGATGCCAGGCCAGGTCTGAGGAGGTGCCGCCTGGAGCACACCATTGTACCTGAGCCCGTTAAAGGTGCCATAAATGGTAACTACTGTTATTGTTAGGGGCAGCCAAAAAAAAGGGCGCCAGATGCTTCCCGCCTTTGCCCAGCTGGGCCTGCTGCCTAAAGTCCTCCCCCACCAGGCTCCCCGCCTTTCTTCCAATCAAGCAACGGAACTGCCAACCTCCAACTCCAAGACTGCCGCCAACCCATCCCCACCCCGCAAACAGACTCAGCTAAGTTCTCCATTAGGGTCCCAGGCCATCTCATGGCTGACCTGGAGCTGCCGTTTGTGGTTGTTTTGAAACAAAAGGAAAATGGCAAACGCTCTCTAGGACATTCTGTAACAATGCGCTGCTTTCTCTCTGCTGTTCACCCAGAGTGTGCACGTAGGCCTCACCCGCTGCAGCGAGCCACTCTTTGTCCCCACCCTCCCATTTCGAGCCACGCTTACACAGGGCCATGGGGCTGGCTAGCTTGTGACCCTGGGGATGTTACATCACAGCTCTGGAGCTTGGGTTTCTTATCCAGGAAACAGAACTTGCGCCACATTCCTCACGGGCGGGGGTGGTGGGAGGAGAGGCGACAGGGGACCTTCACAAAGCCGCCACGTGGGGAAGGAGTGTAAGGGAGGGGAGATAAAAGGCAGTTGTTACTAGCTGTGAACCATAAGATCAGTTTGAGCCATGAGGTTGGTGGTTCAATTCCACCAGCCGCTTCCTCGGAAACCCTACATTGGGTTGCTTTGAGTCGGAACCCACACAACAGCGCTTAACAACAACAAGTGTTTCCAGAGTCCCTGGGTGGTATATGTAAATGGTTAATGCACTTGGCTGCTGATTCGAAGGCTGGTGGTTCAAGTCCAGCCATCAGCCCCAAGGAAACCCTTTTCTTTCCATCAACATGGCTGCGAGGTGCGGGAGAAACTGTAAGACCGCTGAGTGATTCGCACTGTACGTTTACAACAAATTAAAGAGGAACAGCCTGTGGACACGTGGGGGTGTGGTCACGGTGAGTCAGTCAAATGGGCAGCAACGTCCAGATGGTGGAGGTTTAGCTGAGACTTCTTTCTGATTTTCTGCAAGTTTGAAAGTTCAGTTGTGGGGCCACAGAAATTACCTGGCACATAGAAGGGGTTCAGAAGCATTTGCTCCCCTACCCAGAGGGTCCAAGTCTAACCCAACTGTTATGAGTTGAATTACATCACTTTCTAGAACGGTCCTCTGCAGTCCAAATCCCCCATACTTGTGAACATGACTTTGTCTGTAAATACGGTCTGTGCAGATGTAATCAGTTCACATCATACTGTACTGAATCGCCCAACCCCGGGTCGCTATTGAGTAGACCCCAACTTACGGGGACCCCATGTGTGTAGAATAGAACAGTGCTCCATAGAGTTTTCACAGGCTGAGTAGGAAATACAGTCCCTGGCCTCTGGTGATCTTATAGAAGAGAACCCATGAAACAAAAAACACAATGGGAAAATGGCCCCCAGAAGAGGAAGCCGAGATCAGAGTACTGTTGGCGCCAGCCCAGGCACACCTGGGACCAGCAGAAACTGGAAGACACAAGACAGGACCCTCCCTAGAGCTTTGGCAAGCGTGTGGCCCTGAAACACCCAGGACTCAAGCTCCCAGCCTCCAGAACTATGATGAGACCATTGTTTGTGATGGTTCACTGTGGACGCCCTGAAGAACCAACACAGGGCCAAGTCTTTGAACTAGCCCCAGGACGATTTGTTAATTGCTAACTATCCCTAAAAGGATGGTAATTACAGGCTCCTGTGCTGGTGCTGAGTAAACAAACGTTGTGGCAAAGAGAAAACAATTTGGATGGGGCAAAAAGTTGAGCCACTGTTAATGGGGGAGATTGAAAAGGAGGAAGAAGGAAAAGGAGGGAGGAAAGGAGGCCCTGGGCTCCACTCCCCTCCCAGCCCTGCCTTCTCCCACACCTCCCTCCAAAGCTGAGAAACTGACAAACCACATGGCTGCCATCAAACCCTCCAGTTGGTTCCCTCACTTTCCCGGGATGGGGCAGGGCGGGTTAGCACAGATTCTTCAGGCATTCAAGCCATCCTCTGCTTTCAGGAAGGAAGCTATAAAGACAGCCTCCCAGGGGGACCTCAAGCCCAAGAAATTAATCATCACGGCTCATTTCAAGTCAGCACTCCCAACCCCCAGAAACCTGAGCCCAGCTCGCCCGCGTTTGCTATCCGACACAGACGCCAGAGGGCAGCAGTACCCACCGCAAGATGACATAACAACAGAAGCGGGACATCCACCACCACGCAAGTGGCTACTTTTTAAGCCCGGGTACTATCCCGGGGATCCAGGGTCCATCTGACTTCCAGGAGGTCCTAGACAGGCAGACCAATACTTTCCACCATACTGCCTGATCCCACTCAGGAAAACAGCAACAGTACGCCCCACTGCCCCACAAAGACACCACCAGAAACGGAAACCCCCAGGGAGCCTGGGCAAAGCGTCCGGAATGGTAACAGCTGTTACAGCAGCACGGGGTAGCCATTTTAACCACTACCAGGGCCTCGGGAGAGCTGGCGAATGGGAACTAGCAGGCCTACAGCCCCCTTTGAGAGTACGGCCCCTCCATCCCCGGGTTTTAGGACTGTTGGTGTGTGCCGTTCTGACTCATACCACCCCACGTTGACAGAGAGAAGTGCCCCAGCCCGTGATCTTAGGAAGAGCGGATCCCTGGTAGGTTGCGGGGGGGAAAAGCAGCCATGGTGTGAGGCAATTCCTGATACGTAAGAACGGCTATGAGTAAGTCAATTCAAGTTTCTACAAAACAGTGGGGTGAGTATTTAAAAATAAAGAAATAAAACTTTGTCTTTTCCACGTGACCCAAGAGATGGTGCTAGACTTTTCCTCTAAATCCATCTCCACTCTGTCGGCTACCTCAACTTCTGGTTCTGGACATTGTTTCTAGGGGTGTTTCAAAAAACAAACACAAAAAGGGGCATTGAAAAGCCCAAACCCTTATTACTGCCCAGGGTGTCAATCTGCAATCCGGGCCTTTGTTCCCCAGGCCTGCATTTGAGGTTTCTGGGGACTTCTCCTTCCGGGAGCCGTGAAACCAGCCGGATGAGGGGGGGAGAAGGTGTTTGCTGGTGGCGGGTAAAGGCGAGGGGCCTAGACCAGGCTGAGAACAAAGGTGCCCGGCAGCAGGGGGCCTGCTGGGGTGACTTTACCTGCTTGCCCCTGTAGAAGAGCCTCTGAAGACCTGGCTCCACGTGGAACAGCTCCTGGATCTTCAGTCGCAGTTCCTCCACCTTGGTCAGCCTGGACAGGGAGTCCACAGAGTGGGCCACCTTGCCATCCATCGTGCGAACTTGGATCCACATGGTGTCAGGACTGAGACGGAGACAAGGGACACGGGGCGGTTAGTTCTGCCATTACTAAGTCATACTCAGGTCAGTGTTGCTTTGTCCAGCCCATGGGCACCTAGAAACTTCCTACTCCACTACACGCTGGGCCCCACAGATGGCTAAGATCTGGGGCAGGGCTGCGCTGAGTTTATTAAGGAATGTAAGTTAGAAGACCGAAAGGGTTTCGGACCACCCAGCGCCCTTTCACGGGGGGAAAACACCAACGTCCAGAGACGGTGGACAAGCCAAGGACGCCCAGTCAAAGAACGAGCAGCCAAGTTCGTTGGTTCATTCATTCTTCTAATTCACATTTTCGGAAGACGGAATTCCAAAAGTCCGGCACTGGCCGGAACTTCCGAAGTCCCTCAAGAACTCAAAGAAGTGGGGCTGGCGGGAAGGCCCCCACCCGAGACCCACTGGTCCCGGGACCCCGGGTGTCCCACGCGCGCGTGCGCTGTCGGCCCCGCCGTGGCCATGGCAACCGGGCGCCCCGTCTCGTCCGCCCCCGTTCGCGCCGCCACTCACCTCAGTCGGCGGCCAGGCTCTCAGCCGGGTTGCAGCGAGCCAGTTAGCGTTCCCGAGACCCTAGACCCCGGCCCCAGCCCCCTCCCACCCTCGCGACTCGGGCCAGAGTGCCCACGCCCACCCCTACCACGGGGACCGACCAAGGGGGAGGCCCCCCCGCTCGACAAGTCCCGCCCCTTCACTTGAGCTGCCTCACTCATTGGCGCTGAAGTGCCTGGTCACCCCGCCCCACTCGCTCCCTATTGGCCCAAACGCGCCCGAGGAACGCAGGGCGCGCGAAATCAGGCTCGGGCGCGACAATTGAATCGCGGGGCACCCCGCGCGCAGGCGCGGAGCCTGACATCCTCCCCCGCGGTTCTCCGGGCCCTCCCCTACCAGGCCCGCGAGACCCCCACCGGGCTCCAGGATCTCACAGTTCGCTGGGCCAGGTTGTGGATCCCCAGGAACGGCTCCCAGGGACAGGAAGGTCCCGATCTCGGGACTGTATGAAGGGCATCCCGGCGTGGGAACCCGTGCACCCCGTGCTGGCCACGCGTCCCGGTCGCTCGGGAAAGTTCTGCAAAGTCCCCGCGCCCGGTGCGCCGCGCCCCTCGGCTCCCCGGCCCGACCGAGCCGCTCACCTGGCGGGCCGGCCCAATCCGCTCGCCTGCCTGCACGCCTGGTTGGGCTCGGGGTAGCGTGGACCCGCGTGCTTGGCCCGGTTCCCTTGCGGACGTGCGTGCCAAATGGAGCCACAGACGGCCGCCGCTGTCCGCCGCGCTGCCAGCGCTCTGATTTTTTTCCCGCGAAAACTCGGCGTTTTGGAGTTGTGGGGCCGCGGGAGGCCTCTCTGGGGGCGGAGGCCTGCCTTGTGATTGGCCGCCGCAGTGGCGGGAAGCGAGATAGAGGGTAGGGGGACGCCCCCACCTCTATCCACCCTCCTCTGCCTGGCCCCGCCCAGTTCTGCGCTCTCTGCTGGGCGCGCCCAGCGTGCAATGGGCCGGGTGGCGCGACCCGAACACCCCCTAATGTGCCCCCTTCGGGAGCTCCAGGGACCTTCCAGGGTAGAGACCCCCCTTGACCCTCTTAAGTCTGTTCTAGCAGCTCCATACGCCCTCCCCCCCAAGCACACATTTGACCAGTACGGTCAGGAAGGCCAGAATCAATGTCTGAATACTGTGGGAGAATATGGAGAGCCCCCACAAGACCGCATGCACCCGATGGGCTATCTGATAGACCCTAGCCCCACTTCATTGCATTAGGGCCCGCCAGAGGTCACTACCAGACCCACCAGTAGAACTTCTTTGCTGGGTTTTCCCGCCTCGTTTTCCCGCCTTCTGGGGCTGTCCAGCGGGCAGGGCAGCCCTGCCCCCTCCGCCCTGTCTGCTCCACTCTGGCCAGTCCACGCGGGCACACAGTGACCCATGGCCAACACCTACAACGGCCAGATGGGGTGCTCAGGACGGGAGACATTACTCGGCAGTGGACAGTGGGCAAACCCCAGTCAGTGATCTGAGCGACGTGAAATTCTGTCTGGGGAGACCAGCAAGAAGTAATGAATAAAGCAGATCATTTCAGAGACTGTCTCGTGCTAAGACAGGACAATGGCTGGCGAGCGACTGGCGTCCACGTGGCAAAGGGGGAGGATATTCGGGTTGTGGTGGATGAGTGGGCCTCTCTGAGTGACATTTGAGCTGAGATTTGAGATGAGAAGTCGCTGGTATATCTGACAAGGAGGGAAAGGCAAACTCATTGGCGGGAAAAGGCTTAGAGGTGTGTTGGGGTGAATTGAGCAAATGGGAGGGCAGGAGAGATCAAGGTCAGCGGGTATCCTGTGAGACCTCCCAGGCCACCTGAATCTAGTCTTTCTCTAGATAGCAGTTGAAAGGGTCGTTAACAGGAAAAGATGAGCTTTAACTTGGGTTGTTACTGGCTCTCCCTGTGCCAAGTGCCCTCTACCTTGGTCTGATCACATTTCTCTAAGTGATCAGCAGACTATGGCTCCCAATAATGTCCAGGTCCTATTCCCCAGACCTGTGAATGTGTTACTTTCCATGTCTACAGGAGCTCTGGTGGCGCAATGGTTAACAGTTCAGCTGCTAACCATAAGGTCGGCAGTTCGAACCCACTCTGCAGGAGAATGAAGTGACCGCTTTCATAAAGACAACAGCCTTGACAACCCTCTGGGCAGTTCTGTCCTGTCCTATAGGGTCACTGTGAGTTAAAATGTACACGACGGCGCCTAACAACAAAATTCCAGGCCAAAGGAACTTTGAAGACGGAATGATGAAATCAAGGCTTTTGCAGTGGGAAGAACATTCTTGAATATCTTGTTGCTGTTGTTATTGTTAGGTGCTGTCGAGTCTGTTCCAACTCACAGCAACCCTATGTACAACAGACGCGGCCCAGTCCAAAGCAATCCTCACAGTTGTTGTTACGTTTGGCCCTAAATGTTATCACAACAGTCCTTATAAAAGCACGAGGGAAAGAGAATCAGAATCAAGAAAGGCAATGAGATGATAGAATGATACGGCCAGAGGACAAAGACTAGGAGAAGCACCTGTTTTGAGTTTTCGGTCGAGTTGATCACCACTCATGGCAACCCATGTGTATAGAGTAGAACTGCCTGTTGGTTTTGTTTTTTAACTTTTTATGGTGAATGCAGAGAACGTTTGCAGAGCAGAATGTTGTTTTACATTCAACAAATGATATACTTAGTGTCGTTTCAAGGATTGCAATTCCTTCCATGTAGCATCAATTAGTCCGCTTCCGCCAGGTGATTCTTGTTTCCATTCCACCTTCTTTCCCCACCCTTCTGAATTTTGTCTAGGTAAATGGTCCCTTTTGATCTTGAACAGTTGACCATTCCATTCAGCTCACTAGTGTTGTCCCCTATATCCATAAGGTTTTAAAGTCTGGGACCTTTCAGAAGCAAACCTCCAGGCCTGCCTTCTGAGGTACCTCTGAGTGGGTTCGAACTCCCAATCCTTCTGCTAGTGGTCAAACCTTTAACCATTTCTGCCAAGAAATGGATTCTCCTTTGAAATCTCCAGATGGAACGCAGCTCTGACAACACCTGGATTTTAGCTCCTAAGACCCATTTCAGATTTCTTGCCTTCAGAACTGGAAGATAATACATTTGAGTTGTTTCGGGATGTGATATTTATGCTCATTTGTTACAGCAGTCATTTGAAATGAATACCTTCTCGTATTGTGATGTCCAGGTGCAAATATAGCTGTTATTTTTCTTCAACATTAGATATTTATTGGTCAATGTTACGGAACACATTTTTCAGCAATTGACCATATACAGACCTGGCCCCAAATGTGAGCAAGCCTACCTGAGTTGGCAAATTAAGGCTTTCAAATCAACAACACCTCTGCAGAAACCCAACATGTTCCCATTGGTACCAGGTGTTGCAAAACCTCAACTCAGCAGAAGGAGGGAAGACAACTCTTCATGAATACTCCGGAGTGAGGGAGGCCCAGCACAAGCCCTTTGGATATATGAAATTAAATAATGTAGAGAGAGATGTTGGGATTTCCCTGAAGAAAAATCCTTGAGGGAAGTCAATGTAGGGTCCCTTTTCTCTAATCATGCTGAAAAAGTTGGAGAAGTAGCCAGTGTGTGAAGCACTGGGCTTTTCTGAGTAGGTGACACTTGAGAGATGAGCTTCAGAAGATCTGCTCACATGAGTAATTAATAAACACATCGAAGAGACCTACGAAAGGGTTTTGAGAGTTCTCAAAAAAAGAACATAGAGATACCATTCTTTTTGTTGTGATTTTGAATTCGACACGTGTACAGAGTAGAACTGTGCTCCACAGGGCTTTAAAAACTCTGAGCTTGCAAAAGCAGATAGCCAAGCTTGTCTTCCAAGATGCCTCTTGGTGGTTTGAAACCACTAACCTTTTCAGCACTTATTCATCTGCACCATCTAGGGACTACAGCATTGTCATGTTGTGTGCAGTCCAGATGATTCTCACTCATGAGCACAGGAGAGGAGAGACGAGCACTGATTCACAGATTCCAAGGTTGTCCTGATGTGGCTCTGTGGGTTAATGCGCCAGAATGCAAAGCTGTTTGAATTGCAAGGTTGGCGGTTCAAGCTCACCAGCTGCTCCTGGGAAACCCTATACAGGGTCGCTATGGGTCGGAATCTACTTGACGGCACTTCACAACCATCTTTACAGAAGCAGATTGCCATATAGTTCTCCTATGGAGTAGTGAGTGGGTCCGAACCTCTGAACATGTCTGTTTTAACCACTATACCACCTCATTGTTGTTGTTAGGTGCTGTTGAGTCAGTTCAGACTCAGAAACCGTATGCACAACAGAACAAAACATTGCCAGGTCCTGTACCAGCCTCACAATTGCAGCTACACTTGACTGCATTCCTGCTGCCACTGTGCCAACACATCTCATTGGAGATCTCCTTTTTCTCTGACCTTCTACATTACCAAGCATGATGTCCTTCTCCAGGAACTGGTCCCTCCTGATATGTCTGAATTAGGAGAGACGAAGTCTGGCCATCCTGGCTTCTAAGGAGCACTCTGTCTGTACTTCTTCCAGCATAGATTTGTTCCTTTTTCTGGCAGTCCATAGTACTTTTAATATTCTTCTCTAACATCATAACTCAAATGCATCAATTGAAAATATCATGGGTTGAATCAGGCACTCTTTAGTCCTCAAACTGACATCTTTGCTCTTGAACACTTTAAAGAGGTCTTGTGCAGCAGATTTGCCTAAATCAAAATGTCATTTGATTTCTTGACTTCTGCTTCCATGAGTGTTGATGGTGGATACAAGGAAAGTGAAGTCTTTGACAACTTCAATCTTTTCTCCATTTATATGGATGTTGTTTATTGGTCCAGTGATGAGGATTTTTGTGTTCCTTTACGTTGAGGTGGAACCCATATTGAAGGCCATGGTCTTTGATCTTCATCTGTCAGTATTTTGAGTCCTCTTCGCTTTCAGCAAGCAAGGTTATAGCATCTGCATATCACAGGTTGTTAATGAGTGATGAGTCTTCCTTCAATTCTGATACCACATTCTTCTTCATATAATTCAATTTCTCAGGTTATCTGCTCAGCATACAGATTGAATGAGGATGGTGAAAGAATACAACACTGGTACACACCTTTCCTGATTTAAACCATTCAGTGTCCCCTTGTTCTGTTTGAATGACTGCCTATGTACAGGTTCCTCATGAACACAATTAAGTGCTCTGGAATACTCACTCTCTGAGATGTTGTCCATAGCCTGCCATGATCCACATAGTCTATAGCTTTTGCATAGTCAATAAAGCACAGGCAAGCATCTTTCTGGTATTCTCTGCTTTCAGCCAAGATCCATCTGAGACCAGCAATGGTATCCCTCATTCCACATCCTCATCTGAATGGGCTTGAACCTCTGGTAGTCCCCTGTCAATGTACGACTGCAGCCATTTTTAAGTATCTTTAGCAAAAATTTACTTGCATGCAACGTTAATGATATTGCCCAATGATTTCCACATTCCATTGGGTCACCTCTCTCGAAATGGGCACAGATATGGATCTCTTCTAATCAGTTGGCCAGTTAGGTGTATTTCAAATTTCTTGGCATAGATGAGTGAGTGCCTCCAGTGATACATCAGTTTGTTGAAAGATTTCAATTTGTATTCCATCAATTCTTGTCCTTTACCAATGCCTTCAGTGCACCTTGGACTTCCTCCCTCAGTGTCATTGGCTCTTGATCATATGCTACCTCTTGAAATGGTTGAACATTAACCGTTTCCTTTTGGTACAGCGACTCTTCTGTGTATTCCTTCCATCTTCTTTTGATGTGTTCTACATCATTTAATAACTTGCCCAGAGAATCCTTCAGTATTGTAAGTTGAGACTTGAATATTTTCCTCATTTTCTCCAGCTTGAAAAATGTTGAGTGTGTTCCTCCCTTTTGGTTTTCGAATTCTAGACCTTTTTTAGCATTTCATTATAATATTTGACTTTGTCTTCTCAAAATGCTCTTTTAAATTTTCTGTTCAACTCTTTTACCTCCTCATTTCGTCCATTTGCTTTAGCATCTCTACACTGGAAAGCAGCTTTCACAGTCTCTTCTGACATCCATTTTGAGCTTTTCCTTCTTTCTTGTCTTCTCAATGACCTTTTGCTTTCTTCCTGTATGATGTTCTTGATGTCATCCCACAACTCTTCTGGTCTTTGGTTTTCACTGTCTAATGCATCACATCTGTTCTTGAGATGATCCCTAAATTCAAGTGGGATACGTTCAAGGTCATATTTTGGCTATCAAGGACTTGTTTTAATTTTCTTGAACTTCAGCCTGAACTTGCATATGAACAGTTGATGGTCTATTCTACAGTCTGTCCTGGCCTTGTTTTGGCTGATGATATAGAGGTTTTCCACCATCTGTTGCCACAAATATAGTCAATTTGATTTCTGTGTATTCCTTCTAGTGAGGTCCATGTATATAGTTGTCTTTTATGTGTTGTTTTTTTTTTTTAAAAAGGTATCTGCAATAAAGAAGTCATTGCAAATTTATCATGCAATCTCTAACATCGTTTCTATCACCAAAGCCATATTTTCCAATTACCGATCATTCCTCTGTTTCCAACTATTGCATTCCAATCACCAGTAATTATCAATATATCTTGGCTTCATGTTTGATCAATTTCAGACTGAGGAAGTTGGTAGAGTTCTTCAATTTCATCATCACTAGCCTTAGAGGTTGATACGTAAATTTGAATAATAGTGGTATTAACTGGTCTTCCTTATAGGCGTATGGATATTGTCCTATCATAGACAGCATTATACTCAAAATACGTCTTGATATGTTCTTTTTGATGATAAATATTATGCCATTCATCTTCAATTTGTCATTCCTGGCATAGTAAATCCTATGTGACTGTCAGATTCAAATGGCCAATACCAGTCCATTTCAACTCACTAATGCCTAGGATATAGATCTCTATGGCTTCCATTTCATTTTTTATAATTTCCAATTTTCCTAGATTCATATTTCATACATTCCTTGTCCTGATTATTAATGGATTTTTACAGCTGTTTCTCCTCATTTTGAGTTGTGCCGCATCAGCAAATGAAGGTCCTGAGGCCTTTACTCCATTTGTATCATCATGGTCAACTCTACCTTGAGGACGCAGCTCTCCCCCAGTTGCATTTTGAGTGCCTTCCAACCTGAGGGACTCATTTTCCAGAGCTAAATCTGACAATACTCTGATACTATTCATCATTATTTCCATATTCAATATTCTGGTGCTAGTTTCACTGTCTTCCAGTAGCCAAATATTCAGAAATAACCCGCCTCTCCTTCTTACAAGTCTGCCTTAGTCTTGAAGTTTGACTGAAATCTCTCCACCTTGGGTGACCCTGCCAGCATTTAAAATACCGGGGGCATAGCTTCCAGCATCACAGCTACATGCAAGCCACCACAGTATGACAGACAGAGGAGTGGTGAGCTATGTATGCCCCTATGAGCGAGCAGTTGTATGTGTGGACTCATTAAAAGCAGGAACTCAAACATGTGTTGTGTACCAGTGTCCACAGAAACATGACTCAAAATAAACACAAGGAACCCAATGCCCACCTATCCATAAACAGAAAAAGAAAATGTAGTGCATCCAAGATATGTATTACTGTTGTCGGTAGTATCATCGAGTCAGTTCTGACTCACAGCAGCCCCATGCACAACAGACAAAATACTGTCTGGTCCTGTGCCAACCTCACAACTATTGTTGCTACTTGTGGACCTATCTCATTGGGGGCCTTGCTCTTTTTCACCAACCCTCCACTTTTCCAAGCATGATGCCCTTCTTTCTCCACAGGAGAAAGGCTCATAGTGGCCTTGTGTATAACAGAACGAAACATTGCCAGTTTTGTAACTTTGTTATGATTGGTTGCTTTTTGGAAGGTTTTCATTGGCTAATTTTTAGAAGCAGACCACCAGGCCCTCCTTCCTAGTCTGTCTTAGTCTAGAAGTTCCACTAAAACCTGCCCACCATGGGCAAGACCCTTCTGCTATTTGAAATACCAGTGACGCAACTTCCAGCATCATCTAGAATAGGCAAATTCATAGAAATTGAATGTAGAAGTTACCAGGGAGAAGGAGGTGGTGGTGGTGATGTGCCGTGCAGTCAATTCTGACTCACGGTGACCCTGTATAGGGTTTCCAAGGCTGTAAATCTTTTCCCTTTTTTTAAATGTTTTATTGTGAATTATGTGTTCATTTACATAGGAGAACATTAGTTTTACATTCATCCTATTGTATATTGTTTCATTGCCATGGTTACAATCCCCTCCATACATCATCAACCAACCAAATGGTATACACTACAAGCCTGCCCCCACCCCCCGCCCTGGTCATCAGCACACAGCTCCTCTCCCTCTCTGTGTCTAAAGTCCCCAACTGCTCCATCTCTCCACGTCATCATCTCTGCCTCCATCTCAGGCATCACTGCTTCTCTGGGTAGCGTCCCGCTCTCTGCTTGTCTCCCTTGATGGTCCCAGGGACCTCAGCTCCTAGACTGGAAAGTTAATCACTCCCCTCCTTGCTACAAAACGTCTACCTTTACATTTCCAACCCTCACAGTCAGTCCTGATAACAATTATTCACTATTGTATCACAAGAGACCTAGCCACATTTCCTTTCATCAGCCCCACCTAGACAGATTGGATACTACTCAGTGGAGATTCTACCTTCCTCCACACCCTGTGGATCTAGATTCCTTCTTGAAAGCTTGTAAGCCAGTCACTTCTTGTCTTTGTAGCCGCCCCCCCCCTCCATTTTGGGTAGCCAATGGCCAAGTTGAGGCTGTAAATCTTTATGGGAGCAGAAAGTCTCATCTTTTCTCCCACGGAGCAGCTGGTGGATTCGAACTGCTGACCTTGTTGTTTAGAGCCCACTGCAATTGTTGAATGGATATAGAACTTGTGTTTTTTTAAAAGATCTGAAAATAGGTAGTGCTGATGGTCACACAATATTGTGAATGTTCTTTGGGCCACCAAATCATATACTAAAAAATGGTTAAAATGGTCACCCTAAAACCCAAACTGTCTGTCCCCAGAAGTCTCCAATAAACCAAATCCAGTCCAGCTTCATTAGTAAAGAAAGGAACTCTGCTTTTAGCAGTGTGCTTTTAAAGAACTCTCTCTGTGGAATCAAATCGACCACAGCAACTTGTAAGATGAGACAGGAAACTTATGGAGCAATGCGTTCCGGATCCTGTAGAAGGAACAATTCAGAAAACTCAGGTGAGCATGGTGGTACAGCCTGAAGAACATCGTCAGTGTGACCAAACTACCTGGAGATACTGTTGGATTGTTGTTATATGCCGTGGAGTCGGTTCCGACTCATAGTGACCCTGCACAGCGCTTCCAAGGCTGTAAATCTTTACGGGAACAGAAAGCCTCCTCTTTCTCCCACTGAACAACTGGTAGTTTCGAACTGCTGACCCTGAGGTTCGCAGCCCAATTCGTAACCACCATGCTACCAGAGCTCCTATTGTTGGATTAGTGATTGTAAATCCTGTTGTGTATGCTTTCAATAACAATAACAACAACAAAATAAATTTATTTTTTTAAAGAAGTTTGAAGATGAAGTTGTTGGTATTTGAAACCATCATTCCCTCCTCTTCTGACCATTGGAACCCCCTTTCTGGAACCCTGGCTGGAATGATGTCACAGATGGGTGACCTCACCGTGGCCAAGGAACCATGAATCTCGGTGGCGTGGGTAAGGGAGGAAGATGTTTCTCGACCCCCCCAGCCCCCCATGTCTGTGGTGAAGTCGATTGAACTAGTACTGCCCAAGGATACCATCTATCTGGCCGGCTCCAGCCTAAATGGGCAGGTGATTCTAACCCTGAACAGCACCCTGGTAGACCCCATAGTGAAGGTGGAACTCGTGGGAAGGGGCTACGTCGAGTGGAATGAAGAAACCGGGGCATCCCTCGATTATAGCAGAGATGTGATTTGCATCAACCAGGCCGACTATATGCATAAAACAAAGACATTTCCAGTGCAGGGTAAGGATGAGGCCAGCAGCCCTAGCCCATCATAGGTACCTGGGTCTGGAAGGTAAATACATCTGTAAAGGTAAAGTCAATCAACAAACCATCTCTACCCTGGAAATATCAGAAATGGGCAGAGCCTCGTAGTTCCCCAGGAAGGAGGCCATTTGGCACAGTGACCGTTAGATATATGAATATAACAAGACTGGCTTTCACAAGACAATGTCCAGAAGCCAGATGTTCGAAATGAAAATTCAAAGGCGTCCCCTTGGAAAATAGGATGCGTATTCCAATGATAGCATTTGGGAGACCCATAAGAAATCTATCATGTTATTTTACAGCTAAATCTCCCTCTGGTGAGTGACACGCAAAGAAGCCAAAATAAGGGATCTTGTGATAAGATGAGAAAGAGGTTTGTGGTAGAAGAGTGAGGAAACCTTTCCAATTCCACCAGGGCCATATCTTCCATCTGGACAGACACAGAGGCATCAGAACTATTGGAGAACTGGGTTCGGTCCAAAACGCATTCGTGGGGATGCTGCCAGGAGTCCTCCATCAAGTAGCTGCAGCTGAGACTTGGCTGAGCCAAGTTTAATTGTAGACATGTTCGTTTTATGAAGGCCAGTCTTGTTATTTTCGTGTATCTGACTGTCACTGTGCCACATGGCTTCCTCCCCGGGGTGGTGACCGCTGAGCACAGGTCTGTGAGAGGAACACCAGCCACACAGGTATCTGGGACTGGGATCCTTGCCAATTAAGTCACGTCTTAGTGTCCCAGGTACCCCACTTGTAAAATGGGAGCTGTAAGAGCCCTCCTACTCCGTATGTTTGCTTTGATGACTTCATGATTTAATGGCATGCAAAAGGATTAGCATCATGCTGAGCATACAGTAAGTGTTCAGTAAGTGTTAGCTGGTCTAATTTTTACCAAAATGTGACCCCAGGCATATTTCCAAGTGACTGAATTTCCCCTCAAAAGCATCAGCCTGAATCTTGTAATGAAGTAATCATTTATCGAAAAGCATGTATTGAACACCTACTGTATGCATACCAACACCATACAGGACAAGCTGGGAACCCAATGCCCAATCATAACAATAAAGGAGGAAGAAAGAAAAGAAGGAAGCAAATTCTAGAACCTTCTGATGGCATCGTTGGTGTGTTTTGCTTTCAGATAATTGGTTAAGTGCGGGCAGTCACAAGTTTGACTTCCATTTCAACTTACCTCCCAGGCTTCCTTCTACCTTCACCAGCAAAATTGGCCGCGTCTTCTACTACGTACAGGCTTCCTGCATGGGCAGGGAGCTCATTTTAGCCAAGAAGAGGTTATATTTATTGATTCAAGGAACTTCGAATTTCCACAAAGAAAACCTGTTCCAGGTATTGATGGGGGCAGGTCAGCATGAGGCATCTCCTCCAAGACACAAGGAAGAGGAAGGATGTGGGTAGCGAGGAGACCAGGAAGGGCCCAACTAGGAAGAAGGAGAAGGTGGTGGCAGCTTCCCAGATCCAGCAATTTCACAAACACAAGTCTGAAAACAGGGCACGAACCAGGTTAGTGGGCCTACACTAGGAGAATTTAGCGTAGTGGTTATGAAGCGGGCTGCAAGCCTCAAGGTCAACAGTTCGAAACTACCAGCTGTTCCGTGGAAGAAAGATGAGGCTTTCTGCTTCTGTAAAGATTTACAGCCTCGGAAATCCTGTACAGTGTTGCTATGAGTCGGAACCAACTCCACAGCACATAACCACGACCACCTAGGATATTGGCCATGTACAAAGATGTGAGGTTGTCATGACCTGGGAGGGGCTTGCTATTGGCATGGAATGGGTGGAGACCAGGGATGCTGTTCAACACTTACAATGCACAGGATGGCCCCACCCCAGAGAAGGATCCAGCCTCTGTCCACAGTGCTGAGGGAGAGAGAAATAATGATTTGATTACTTGGTAGTAGGGAGTCCTGGTGTGGCGCTGTGGGATAAAGTACTGGACCACAAGGTCAGCTTAAGCCACAAGGTTAGTGGTTCAAATGCACCAGCTGCTCCTTGGAAGCCCTTTACAGGGTCGCTATAAGTCTCAATCGACTCAACAGCACTTAACAACAACAACATTTGGATGAGGAGCACTGGTGGCACAGTAGGTTAAGAATTGGGCTGCTAACCACAATCTTGGTGGTTCAAACCCACCAGCCGTACGTTTGTAGAAAGATGAACCTCTCTGCTCCTGTAATGATTTATACCTCGGAAAGCTTCTCTGCCCTATACTCACTATGCATTGAAATCAACTTGACGGCAGTGAGGATTTTTGTTTTCTTTTTTATTTGGATTTTAATGTGGGCCACATACTAGGACATCAGGGGATCAGATGATTCTGGGATCATGGAATCCCCTAGCCCAGGGGTTTTCACCTGGGGTGATTCTGCCCCCAGGGGACACTGGATGATGTCTGGAGACATTTGTGGTTGAAATTACTTGGGGGTGGGGGTGCTACTCGTGGGAGGAGGCCAGGGATCTTGCTCAATAACCAGCGCAGTACCACCCCAGAAAAGGATCTGGCCCCATGTCTGCAGTGTCTAGGGGGGAGACCTTGCAGTTAGCAGAGCTTAGATGAGCCCTGTTGAGGAGCTGTGGGTCCCTAGACAAAGGAAGTGGCCTCCGTCCAGGGCAAGGAAGGGCCACGTGCTTCTGTCTGCAGAGGAGTGTCTAGGCTCCCAAGACCAGGTGCAGATGCCAGAGTTGGGGCAGGTGGAGCAAGGTTGCCCAAGGTCACCGTGACCAAGGTCACTTCCCGCCCTGGGGCTCTTCTATGGACAAAGCATAGTGGCTGACAGTGCTGGCACTTAATAATTGAGGAGTTAGACTCCTGGTGCCTCTGTGAAACCTTTTACAGATGACTTCCCTTCTCTGTGCCTCCATTTCCCCATCTGTCAAATGGGTACAGAAATAAGACCACATAGAAGGTTGTTGGAGGAATAGTAAGTGAATTTCATGGAAACCCCAGGCTCTGCAGAGTTTATTGAGTCAGTTCTTACTGATGGTGACCACATGTACATCAGAGTAGAACTGTTTTCAACGGCTATGTTTTTTAGAAATAAATTACCAGGCCTTTCTTCCAACACACCTCGGGTGGATTCGAACCTCTAACCTTTCAGTTAGCAGTCAAACACCATTTGCACCACGCAGGAACTCCAACGCCTGTTGCTGTTGTTAGGTGTTGTCAAGTCAATTCCGACTCGTAGCAACTCTATGAACTACAGAATGAAACACTTCCTGGTCCTGTGGCATCCTCACAATTATTGTTATGCCTGAGCCATTGCGCCAATCCATCTCGTTGGGGATTCGAACCTCCAACCTTTCAGTTAGCTGTCAAGTACAATTTGCACCACCTAGGAACTCCAACCCCCAGGCAACCACTAGTCCACTTTCTGCCTCCATTCTGGATGTTTTGTGACGGTAGAAGTAGATGTTATGTGGTCTTTTATGACTAGCTTTTATTCACATGCTGTTTCTATCCATATTGTGTATCTCAGGACTTTATTCCTTCTTAGGGTTGAATAACATTCCATTGCATGGATAGAACAAGGAGCCCTGGTAGCATAGTGGTTACGAATCGGGCTGCGAACCACAAGGTCAGCAGTTCAAAACTACCAGCCGCTCCGCGGGAGAAAGATGAGGCTTTCTGCTCCTGTAAAGATTTACAGCCTTGGAAACCCTGTACAGGGTCCTTATGAGTCGGAACCAACCCCACAGCACGTAAGAACAACATACAGGGTTGCTAGGAGCCAGAACGGTGGGTAATGAATGGGCCCTATGTTGTGTATCCATCATCTGTTGATAGACATTTGGATTGTTTCCACTCTCTGACTCTTTTCGATCATGCTGCTATCAACTTTGCCTGTGTCCCTTTTCCATTCTCTTCAGTCAATGGCTAGAGTCAGAATCGGCCAACTCTAAGTCTTGTCACTTCAGGAAATGCCAGGCTGTTTTCCACAATAGGATTGCTCTCATTGTTGGGTTCCCTTGAGTTGATTCCAACCCCTAGTAACCCCATGACAGGGTAGAGCAGCCCCATAGAGTTTCCAAGGCTGTGATCTCACAAAAACAAATTGTCAGATTCACTCCCATGGGGTCCTGAGTGTGTTCCAACCATCAATCTGGTTAACAGCCAAGCGCTTCACTCTTGCGCCACCGGCAGCTCCAAGGTGACTGCACTGTTTTTACATTCCCACCAGCAACATCTGAGGGTCCAGTTTCTCCACATCCCCCTTGTCCCTGAAACTGTAAAAACCTACCACCTAGTCACTGGTAGCGTAGTGGTTACAAATCAGGCTGTGAACCTTAAGGTCAGCAGTTCGAAACTACCAGCC